ATTGGAGAAAAACAAGGTTCCAGGAATTTATGAAATATCAATTGAAATGCTTCAACAAACTGATGCAGAGTTAAAATAACTCATTCATCTATACCAAGAAATTTACAAGTAGAAGACACAAACTGACAAACAATGGTGAAAGATCTATATTTGTGCCCATTCCAAAGAAAAGTCATCCAGCACAATGCAGACGTTACCAAGCAATGTCATTAATATAACATGCAAGTAATATTTTGATTACTTGGTAACTGGTAAAACAATTGCAGCAGTACATGAACAGAGAGTGGCCAGTAATTCAAGCTAAATTCAGAAGAGAGTGTGGAACAATGGGTAACATTATTGACAACAGATGGCTCTTGACTAAAAGTAGAAAATACTAGAAAGAGTATTGTGTTTTATTGCCTATGCAAAGACATTCAACTGTGTGGATCATAACATTCAATGGATAACATTGCAAAGAATGAACATTCCAAAACATTTCATTGTGCTCCTTTGGAGCCTGTGCATAGACCAAGAGGCAGTCATTCAGACATCACTAGGTGGTGATACTGTATGGTGTAAAACCAGGGTTGTATCCTTTCACTTATTCAATCTCTATCCTGAACAAATAATCCAATAAACTGGACTATAAGGAGAATGCAGATAAGAGTTGTACAAGCCCCCAATAAAATGATTTTAAAAAATAAGAAGAATGCAGCATCAGGATTGGAAGAAGCCTCTTTAGCAACCTTGTTTGCTAAAAGTTAAGAGAACTTGAAGCACTTATTCATGAAGATGGAAAAATATAACCTTCAGTATGGATTATACCTCAGTGTTTAAAAAACACACAAAAATCCTCACAATTGCACAAATAAATAGCATCACAGTAAATGGAGAAAAGACTGAAGTTGTCAAAGATTTCATTTTACTTGGATCTATAACCAATGCTTATGGGAGCCACACGCAAGAAATCAAAGGACAGAATGCACTGGGGAAATCTTGTATGGAAGAACTCTAGAAGTGCTATAAAGCAAAGGTGTCACTTTGAGGACTAAGCTATCCCTGACTTAATCCATGATGTTGTCAATAGTGTCATGTGGATGAGAAAGCTGGACAATGAATAAGGAAGACCAGAGACGAAGTGACTAGGATGCTGGCAAAGAATAGTGTATATACCATGGGTTGCCAGAAGAACAAACAAATTTGTCTTAGAAATACAGCCAGAATGCTCCTTGGAAGTGAGAGTGGCTGAATTAAGTGTCTGGTGATTTCCCATGGCCATAATCAAAGGATGTGAATAGCCTTGCTATCAGACTGAGAGCATTGTAAAGTTGATTATGGCAGATGTAGTTAGGTTAAAATGTAATATCATTTGATCTCCTTTTTGACCCATTTTAAAGGGTTACAATTAAGAAAAAAAGTGAAGAGGAAATACATGTGGATTAAGCCCCCTGTGAATCTCCCCTCTCCATAAAATAGTGATGTGAATAGTGTTGCTATTATGCAGAGTACACTGGAAAATAGATTATTGTAGATGCAGTTAACATTTAACACCTTATCATATGATCTCCCTTTTGGCCCCTTTTACATTTGTTCTAGTTTTTTAATTTTTCTACTTTTTATGGAGGTTTTTCTCTGTTCTACTTTGTTATTGTTGTTGGGTTTGTTTTGTTTTTCATGTTTTGTATGTTTTTCAATATATGAAATCCAGGATAGATAAATCTATAGACAGTAACTGGATTAATGCTTTCTTGGGAGTATGGTAAGGACGACTGAGAGTTGGGGGGAATGGTAGCTAATAACATTGAGAACAATAAGGAAGGAAATGTTCTCAAATTGATTGTGGTGATGATTATACAACCCTTTTTATATGATTGTCTATTAAATTGTCTGATGTGGGAATTATATGCCAAAAAAACTGTAAAAAGAATAGAAGAAGAAGTGAGATGACAAGACTTCATCCCACGTACTTTGGACATCACACTTGGTAAAGTAGAGGGTCAGCAAAAAAGAGGAAGACTCTTGATGAGATAGATTGACAACAGTGGCTGCAACAATGGCTTCAAACATAACAATTGTGAGAACAGCCCAGGATCTGGCAGTATTTTGTGCTCTTGTGCGCAAGGTTGCTATGTTGAAACTGACTCCACAGCATATGACAACAACAACACCTTTTAATATAACACCTCAAATTCAAATCAGTTACCCCTGAATTGGTTCTGATTCAGTAACTCAGCACGTGCAGGGTGGAACAGTGCTCCATAAGGTTTTAAAGGCTGTGACCTTTTGAGAGCAGATCACCAGGCCTTTCTTCCTAAGTGCCCCTGGGTAGATTAGAACCATCAACTTTTTACTTAATGGTTGAGTGCTTGACTGTTTGAGGCACCCACGGACTCCACCTTTTGGTATAGCTTCTAGGAAGATATCCCATATACTCTGCTCTTTGAAGAAAAGGTATTTTTATGTTTAACTTTCTATCTGAACCAATACCTAGGATGTAAGTGATACTTAGAAAATGTTTGTTAAATTAATTGATTAATGAAATATTCACAAAATCATGAAATAATCACAAAACAAGTCTGCACTTATTTGAAACAGGCTAAAAATGTCAGACAAAATCCAAATAGCTGCTCACCAGTGCGCCTAGAGAGATTTTTAAAGCTGGTGCATAAATCCAGAGTTTCATATTTTAAAAACAAGTGGTCGCACAGTATATTTCTTTTTCTCTCTCCAGCTTCTTGTCAACATTGGGTTCATCTCCTGCTTCTGCTCCTTTTGTAGGTTTACCATAAAACTGATTTAAAGTAAAAGTTTCTTCAAGAATTATGCTACAATATGCTGATCTGAAAATAAATTTTCTAAAATTATTTTTTACCCGTAAGGGGGCTATCAAAGATTTCTTGGTGATGTTATTTCTTAAGAACTTATGTACAGCTTATAAACTTCCTTCTGTCGGAAGCAAATAGATGAGACTTTTGATTATCTCTCCATTTTGAGTTTCAGGTCAGATTTAATTGTGGAAACAACTAAAATGTACTCAATAGACCTTTTATGATTATAATTCATGGTTTTGTAGCACAGGCGAAAGTACTGACTAAAGTACTTTCTAAAGAAGCTGTTCTTTGTAGAAATAATTGTGTTTTCCTTATGCTGTTCTTCCTAGCATGTTGCTGCTCATTTAACACAATAAGGTGGAAAACTCACTACCATTGAGTCAATTCTGATTCATAGCAACCCTACAGGACCCGGTAGAAATGCCTTTGTGGGTTTCTGAGACAGTAACTCTCTACAGGAGCAGAAAGCCTCAATTTCTGCCGTGGAGTAGCTGGTGGTTTTGAACTGCTGACCTTTAGGTTAGCAGCCCAATGTGTAATCACCAGGCCTCCCCATTAATAAGGTGGGAAGAAGAGAGGAAATGAAAAAGTAGGTAAAGGCACAAGATCTCTTACAACATACATAAGATAGGTAGGCAAAGAGATTGATTATAAAATTGAATTGTATAGTCCATGGCCACTTCAGTTATTTGTGATTATTTAGAGCAGTAAAAAGTCATGTTGCTCAGCCATAGCTGCCCAGAGAGAACCTTACATTCACTCTATGAATCCCCATAGGTTTGTCTCATACCACATGGCCCAACCCTCTGAGCCAACGATAAGCACCTGCAGGGTTGACCCAATCAGACTCTCTTCTAGGGACTTGTTTTGGTGCCTGAAAGACACTTTTGTTTGTTGGCTGCTTAAAGTTAAGGGCATTTCACTCCAGACCTGTGGGGCAGTCATGTTTAGCCAACTGCACAGAGAGAAGCTGAGAAAACTACCTGTAAACAGAATGCTTACAAAAAGTAGAACCAAGACAGACCAGCCTGGAGGTGCCAAGGGAGCAGGTAGTTGGACAGCTCCCAGTGTACTGAAGACTGCATTATCTGGTCCCCATGGTGACCAAGAGTCACTCAAACAACCCCCCTCCCGCCACCCACACACACCTTGACTAGGTCACCACAACCTGGTTCCTGACAGATTATTTAACTCTGAATCAAATGTTCACCTGAGACAAGGATTAGGGAAGAGAGGCAAGCTTCAGAAGGCAGTGAGGTGGAGGTTCTGGGAATGTTGGGAAAGGACAGAGGCAGAGATACTGAAGAGAGCGCTGCATGTTTGAGGAAAGACTGATGAGCTCCATTTTGTACAGGTGGAGCTTGGAGCAGGGCCCAAGGGAGCTGTCCAGGGAATGGCTGTGGATCTCAAACTCCAGAGAAAAGGGTGGTCCAGAAAAAGAGTTCTAAAAATCATTCCCATCTGGATGGTATTGGCAGTTTAACAGTGAATGTGATGACCCAGGGACAAAGTGAGAAAATCAAGGCTCCATATCAGACCCCCAAGGAACATCAATAATTAAGGACTAGATGAACCAAAATTGAGTAAGAGGATCTTTGGGGTGGAAGAAAGACTACGAGAGCATGATAGTCCCGAACCCAAGAGTATTTTGGAAAAGAGAGTGGTCGATGGTTCACCCGAGTTATGGTCTAAGAGATGCCAACTGGATTTTATGGCATGAGTAGTATTGAAGCCCTGCTGGGAACCGTTTTGGTGGAGCTGGGTGTGTGGCAGGAGTTGACCACAGAAGGCAGAGTGGGAGTTGACAACTCCCTGGAGAATTTCTGCTGTCAAAGGGAGGAGTGAAAGAAAGGAGGGGCTGGAAGGCAGTGAGGTTAGGGGCATTTGGGGAATCTAGAAGAGATATAAGAATATTTAAATGCATCAAGTAAAGGAGCTTGCCACAGGGAAGGCAAGGGAATGGTATTCGTGCCCAAGAATAGGGTGGCTTAGTCACCAGAACAACCTGGGCAATAAAGGTAAAAACCATTTGCTCAGTGACTGGGAGAGAGAGAGCTCCATGAAAGCAAAGTACAAAGGGCCAAACAGGAAGAAGGGGCCTTAGGGCCTCCTGTTCATGTAGTGATGTTCTGGGCTGCGTTGTTGTTTTTTTCATTTCCTTTTTTTTCAGAGTTCAGTTTGTTTTACTGAACAAGAGATCAAGGCCCCTGTCATCGTCAGATTCTTCAGACTCTTCTCTCTTGGCTTCCACTTTCTTCCCTTCAGCTGGGCCAGCCACGGTGGAGGGTGCCTGTCCTCCTGCTGGTGCAGAACCCCCAACTGGGGCAGGGCCACCAGCCCCTGCATTACAGATGCGGCTATCGATGTTGACCTTGGCCAGGGCCTTGGCGAACAGGCCGGGCCAGAAGCGCTCCATGTTGATGCCGAGGACCTTAATGAGGGCGCTGACCTTTCCTCCTTGACGGTTGCAGGATGAGGACCGAGGAGATGCGGGCGAGCTTGGAAACCGAGGCCATGGTGCGGGAGTGCTGGGCTGGTGGCTGCCGGCTGCCTTGCTAGTCGCCAGATGAAGTGAGGGGCTCACCCCCAACGCGGCCTTAGCTTCCTTGGAAGAACTGAGCACCTTAGCGGCAGCTGAGGAAAGAGGGGGTATTTTAAAATAGAGGTGTCATCAACCTTCTTGAAACATTGTTGATAATGCCACAGCCCCTAGACCAGAAAAACTAAATGCTACCCAGCTACCACTACCAACTTCTCTGAAAGGGATCACTTTCGAAGGACCTAGATAGAGGGGGAGAAAGATTTGTAACACAGCTCAAAATCACGAAAGAGACCAGCGTTGCTTGTTAAATAGAGACTGGCGGAGGAAGCTCTGAGACTATGGTCTTTGGGCACCCTAGGAATCTTAAACTGAACTCCTCCCTATGGCTCCATTCTCATCCCATAGACAGACCTATAATGGAAATGACAATACCAGCGAGGTAGCACATCTAAGAATAATCAACCATTTGGGATCCAAAGGAGAGCACTTAACCAAGGACAGCGTTCAGAAGGGTTTAGGAAAGGAAGAGGATGAAGACAGGAGACACAGATGGAGGTGGGATGGGTGATGTTCCATTGATGTTACATCTCAGTGAATGAGGTGACACGGTGTATATACATATAGGATTCTTTAAATGTAAAAAGGGTCCTCTGTTCTACAAACATCCCCAATTCCCAATATATCAAGTTGAAAGAGAGAAAGAAAAGAAGGTAATTTGCAAGGCATAGCTACAAGAAAGAAAAAAGAATGAAGGGAGAAGCAAAGATGAATGTGCTATACCTAAAACCAAGGAATACCAAGGACGGTTGGCAGGTGAGCCATGGGACAGGTGAGCCATTGGACAGGTGAGCCATAGGACAGACTCTCCCTCAGAGCCTCCCTGCAGATACTTTGATTGCAGAACTTTGGGACTACGTAACAGCGAAAGGAGACATTTCTGTTGTTTTAAGTCAAAAGATAAATAAAAATAAGGTTATTGATGAAACAATTGAACAAGGCCGAGTAACATTAACTTATTAATCAGTACCTTTGACTATGGTTCTTTAATCTGTTACAAACCCCCAACCTCATTAAGCCCATCTCTCTCCTTATTGCCCATGAGAATTTCTTAAGAGATGTGAGCAGAGGAATTGCTAAATCACAGATTGCTTATTTCCGTTTTCTTCCTTTTATCAGAACCATAATCCTATCAAAAAAGGAAATGTAAGTGCTTTACAGCAAACTCTTGGAGCCAGGTAATGGGTAAAATGATTATTCACATTTTATAGCACCCAGGAGTTTATTCTTTCCCTCATCAAGTAGTTATTGATTGCTTTCTACCCTGGTAATAAAGGAGCATGCTAGGCAGTAGAAAACAGCAGAAGTCCCCACCCTCAAGATCTTCACAATTTTCCATCCCGAGTTCCATTCACTGAAGTTTGGTGGTTGCATGTGTCCTTTATAGATACCTCCAGCTAAACTGTCTAGGAATTCTTTTTCCTTTTTAAGTCACCTGAAGAGCAGAGATCCTGTCCTTAGTCCTCTTACCCCGCTCCTCTAGCAAGAACTTAGCTTGTCTTGGCTCTAGTAGAAAGGAAGCAGTCTCATCCCTAGAGGTGAGTAGAATTCTTGGTTTTCAGCCCTCTCTTCAAGCCTTTGTCTATGTTGTCTCCTTTACCTGGAATGCCATCTCTAACAATTCATGCCTGCTATCAACTTAGGTGAGGAGCCCTGATGACGTAGAGTTACAAGTTGGGCTGCTAACTGCAAGGTTGGCGGTTCAAACCCACCAGCCTCTATGTGGGAGAAAGATGAGGCTTTTAAGGTGACCAGACGTCCCGCTTTTGGCGGGACAGTCTGGATTTTTAACAATTTGTCCCGCGTCCCACGGCGTTTTAAAAAGTCCTGATTTTTGGAAAGAATGCACAACAAGGTAGGGAACGGCAGGAGAACCAGAAGGAAATTTACGGTTTTCGGCTGCCATGTGGCTATTTTGCCAGCATATGAGTTTTATATTATTTTTGTTAATTTTATAATGTTAAACTTTAATAATAACAAATAATTGTTGAGAACTGATTATCGAGAACTGCTTATCAAAGTTCACATTGTTGATCAGTTGTTAGAATTCAACCACCATTGTTTGGACTTAATGAGCAATGGCATTTTTTGGCACTGGCAAAGATGAAAACATTTTGTAACTGTCTCTCAGACGATATACATCGTACTGTGTGCTAGTGCTAGTTGAAAAAGTGATGTCAACAAATCAGCTATTCAGATAATTTAGGTAAATAATTTATTTATTTATTTCATAAATACATAAATTTTCTTGAATTTAGCAGACAGTACTCATATTATTTATATTTTACAGTGGTGGCAAAAAGTCTAGTGCCGGCCTTGAAAATGACACTTATGACTTACATTACAGCAAATTCAGAGAAAAAAATAATACAAGTTAGTATTGTTATTATTTAGAAAGAAATATAGGATTAAAATTAAAATATTTTTTAAAATAGAGTTACTTTATAGCAATCAAATTAATTTAATTTATAAACTAACAATAAAATATGTTCATGTAATTATGGTACCTACTTACTGTGTTTTTAAGCAATATGTATATAGTAAATCAGAAAAACCACAATTAAGTGTTGAGACTTTGAAAACCATTTTATGTGTGAAATATAACTTAACAAATTCTTGTGAAAAATTTCATGACCTTTTAAACGACAGCAATCTACTAAAAAAAATTCACTCAAATGAGAAATATGCCAAAGAATAAAATAATACTATACATAATTTTAATGTATTATGTTTGTAAATTGTACTTATGTTAAAATTTTAAAAAATATATTACAATACTATTTTTGCATTCTATGAAAATTTTTGTTGCTCCATATATACAAATTTTTAATCAAGAACCACCACCACCAACAATGGTGTCCCGCTTTACCAATGTTAAAATCTGGTCACCTTAGGCTTCCTGCTCTTAGAAAGCTTTACAGTCTTGGAAACCTACCGAAGCAATTTGCTCTGTCCCAGAAGACTGTGTCCTAGAGGGTCGCCATGAGTCAGAACTGACTCAATGGCAGTGTTTGGGGTTTTGTTGTTGGTTTTTTTTTGGGGGAGGGGGTATGCGGTTTGGGGTGGATTGGGCTTGTTTTATGGTTTATCAGGAGTGATTTAGGCAATAGTGAGTCCCACAAACCACTTTGAGAGTGCTTCTTTGACTGTCTCCAGCCCTATGATGACAAATTTTGTGAGCACTTACTATAGACATTATCTCCTTTAAGTCCCACAACAATCCTATGAGGAAGATATTATCATTTTCATATCATGGATAAGAATACTGAAGTGCAACAAAATGAAAGAACTTGTCCAAGGTCACTCAACTAGTAAATAGCAGAGCTGGGATTTGAACTCACATCTATTTCGCTCTAGAAGTGAAGCTGGGTTTTTGTTTTCATTCTCTTTGTTTTATTGCATTAGGAACCTATTTCCTCCACATCTGCAGAATGAAAACCTATCTTCATCATGAGTTATACCTTTCTGCTCTCATTTTTTCAGGCAAAAATTAGTGGCCACTTCTTGGAAAAAAAAGAAAGAAAATAAATCCAGAGGCTCACACCCTTAAGTACCATACTACTGCTACTTGAGCTTTTGTTTCTAGAATGTTTGGATAGTCTACATCTAATCCACAATGATATTATTGTTTGTGTTCTTTAGTGGTTTCCTGTGTGAATTTCTTGTTTGCTCAGCTTGATTTTTGTCCCCTATGATGCACACAGTAAATGCATAATAAATGTTTGTTGAATGAATGGATTTTACATGTATCTTGCTGAAATATATGCAGCTCTCTTTGATTCACTAGAGTGGCACACCCGAACAAGAAATAATTTTTCTTAATGTGTCCCTTATAAATTGAACCTGACCATATTTGATTAATTTCACATCATGCATTTTTATTACACCAATCACTCTGGTATCAGGTCAGATTTATTTTAAAAACAGATTCACAAAGGGTGCAGGGCTGGAGTGACAGTATAAATATGTTAATAATAAAAATAATACTGAAGATATTTTACTGGAAACTCACATGCTAATAATGAGTAAGTGCATTCTACGGAAATACTTTGATTTACAATGCAATTAATTTCAAAAGGATTCAGGTCCTATACCATATCTTGTATACTTAGGTAATGAAAACTAAAAATGAATATTCAGGCCATGAAAGCAGAGTTCAAAAAAAAATCCCATCTTGAAGACCTTCAGTGTTTCCGTTAGAACAATAGCCCAATCACTGAAAATGGTGCTATTGTCCGATCAAAAGCATCCAGATTAGGACGCTCCTCCTGGGTAGCTGCCGGGATTTCGCACTACACAGAGCACGCGAGCACCCAGTAGCAGCCTCACAATGAAAAACACTACATAGTATCCGGTGGCCAAGGCGCCCTGACACCTTCAATCACGGAACGAAAAGCGTTTGGGGGCTTCTTGTTCAGGAGAAAGCGGAGCCTTTCATGTCAACTCACATTGTGCGATGTGTGAGCATTTTCCTAGTTCAGTTTTTGGCCACATCTTAGGATGCAGCTCAAAGTGAAGGGCATTCTATCTCATACCCTATGCAAACGGCAAGGAAAAAATGTTTTTTAAATATGATTCTTGTGATATTTCATCACTCAATTCAGGTGTGCTAAGAAAGCGGGAATGTTGCTGTGCTCTTTGAGGAAGGAGGCCCATTTTTGTAATCGGATTTATAAAGTTGACTTAGCCCGCTTTGTATTGAGAGGGGAAGAAGCAGATGCTGCTGAGCGATCGTACACCACAGGGAGCCGCACGTCAGTGCAAAATGGTTGCGATTTCCTTTCATTTCTTGAGAACAGATCAGCTATGCTGAGGCAGGCACCAGACTTTTAGAGAAAACTATTTGGTTTGTTAAACAAAACTTATGGGCAACTTTGATTTAATAATTTTAAAAGGCACAATATGTTTTCAATGATAAGTATTTAAAAGGGGACACCGGCTACAGATCGTGTGCTTTCATATTTCTCTGGCAGTGATTATTAATTTTGAAAGCAGTATTGTGGAATACATTATTATCATTTTTTTAATGAAGATG